ACCGGCCATGGAGATCCCGGCCAAACCACATGTCCGAAAGCCGTGGCCGTTTTCGAGCAGGGAACGGTACGGCATCCGAGGAAGTGGACTGGGAAAATCTGTGCGGTTGAGATGATTCGAGTGTGCACGAGGCATGTGTTTCAGGGTCGGGCATGAGAGAGTGGAGGCCGAGTGGGGGAGTATCAGAAGGTATCGTGAACCCTTGAGCAGTGGTATTGGTGTCAGTGTCGGTGTTGGTGTTGTTGGGACGGTTGGAAGTAACCCTGGTGAGAGCATATGATGAATCTGTAGCTCCGTTAGCTGTAGCAGCAGCAGCGACGGAGGCAGCAGCAGCAGCAGCAGCAGCAGTATCAGCAGCAGCAGAGGCTGCAGCTGTTGCTGAAAATGCGGCAGAACGAATGGCAGGATCAGTAGGAAAGGGGTCATCTAATACAGGCTGGGATCCCACAGGAATCCCAACCCCAAAAAGCCTTAGTGAGCTGCTGAGAACAGTGTCTGCTCCGCCTGATGCTGTAAAGGCAAGCACGGCAGCAGGTGGATCTGCAGCAGAAGCAGAAGCAGCAGCAACATCGGCAGTGGCAGCAGCAGCATCAGCAGTGGCAGCACCACCACCACCAGAAGTGGCAGCAGCAGCAGCAGCAGCACCATCAGCAGCAGTGGCAGCATCAGCAGCATCGCGGTAGGGCAATTGACACTCTTCCATTTCGGAGCAAAGGAAGAGCCAGAAACGAGTGGCACCCGTGCGTGTGCATGAAAGGCACGCAACTGGGAGGATCAAAGCAGAGGGCCTCTAGCAGTGCCGCGCTGTGTAATAATCGTATAACCTGAGGAGCCCACACAGGACCCGCAGCAGCAGCAGCAGCAACAGCAGCAGCAGCAGGGGAGGCGGCAGCAGAAGAAAGAAGCAGGAAGGCCCTGAGCTCAGTTAGTGAAGCTCTTCGGTGTGCCAAGCACAGCATGCCGCTCAAAAAGGTGAAGCTGTCTTGATGTTGGTTTTACATGAGCTTTAGCCTTGGCGACAAATACCTCACTGTGTGTGACGCGCAAAGCATTTGACCAAGTGATTTACTGCCAGTGGCAGTAGTGCGCTACTGGGGATATTGGTTGCAAGAGGGGGAGGATGCGTAGAACTGCAAACAGGGAGAGGAAAGGCGAACAGACAAAACGGGGGAAGGGAAGGAGGGAAAGAGTTGAGGGGATTGAGTGAGATCCTGCTCGGGAAGTCACACTTACGAAATGCTGTAAGTTCCACCTTATATAAAGACCTTCCTCTTTAGGGTGTCACTGCATCATCCGGTTGTGGGAGGGGAAATAAGGGGGGGGAGGAGGGAGGGAGGGAGAGGGGGGAACGGAAAAGGGGAGGGTGAGTTATCAAGAAAGTGTGACACCACCAATCAGGAAAAGAGGGCCCTTTGTATGGTCATCGCGAGAGAAATACTAGAGGAGTGTGAGAATGGGTTGGACGAAGTTACACTGCTGTCATCCAATAGCTTGGGTTTCAACAGCTTGGGTCCGGTGGGTGTGTAAGGTTCCGGTGCCACCGTGACACAACGTCCCTTCGACCAGCAAATCAGGTGCAGAGAAGCTCCTGCATATTTTACCTTCCCAAAAATGCCACAGGAAAGTTGATCGTCACGATGTAATCAACCTTCAAAATTAAGCTAGCCTGGTCCTGGCTCAGGTATTTTTTTCGAATCCAAGTGATATTATCTTAGATCTTCTTTGTTGGGCAAAAACGAAAATAAATTAAAAAAAAAAAAAAACGCAAAACTTTCTCTTCTTTTTTATTGGACATACTCTTCGTTCTTTTTTCCCCCTCTTTTTCGATATGAAACTTATGGAGCCTCGCTTCAAGTGGTAATAATACCTGTTCTTTTAGGGTTACGACGATCCTTGGGCGGCTCTGAAAACGAACGCGTCGCAAAAAACTCCGAGAACATGAAAACGAATCTAAAGATCTAAGGACCATTTTTAGAATATTATTCTGCTACTTCATGAAAAAGTAGCTTGACAGCTACTACGAACTTGACCGCTGCAGTGTGGCACCTTCCTTAGAATATGCCCCCGCCTTCGTTACTAGCTCGAGTTGTAGGACTGTTCGCAGAAGGTACTACTGCTCGTATCAGCCTCTCAGGAGGCCGTAAGAATGGCACATGGCACATAGATTTACCAACAGCAGCAAGGGCGGGTAAGAGCTGGGTTGTGCAACCTAGAGCACGCGGCAGCACCTCAAAACTTCAACAGCCTAAACCACCGCGTGGTCATCATATCAAGTTCCTCTGACTCCTCGGGCACCACGATTCAAGCGGAGGTGATGAGGGGGGTTGCTCTTTTCCAATCAAGTACTGTACGATGGCATAATCGCGGTCCTTGCCAGATTGTCCCGAGCCAAGCGTGTCCCGCATTGTGACCGCACGATCTTCCCCCTCCTCACCACCCACCCGTGCGACGGTGCAAGCCCGCGTTACACAACACGCAATGGCGTGTGGTTTGGGAGCCCAAGTGAGGGATGAATGGTGGTGACCAGCTCATTCCATGTGCACTGAGTACACCTAGTCCGCGCTATTTTAACCGCCGGTATCTTAACCACGCGAGGGTACTTCTCCTTTCTCAAACTTATTTAGTCGGGTTTTATTAAACATTTACGAGGGTAGTATCTAGCATTCCCTTCGCGAGATGACGGCACTAAAAACTCAGTCAATGCCAGTTCGCCTTCTGTCTCGAAGCACAAAGTGTGAGTTGTTTAACAGAAATGCTTTCGGCTGCAAAATCGTAGCCTCGAAGTCTCTGGGTGCCCATCTCATTACCCAAAAACGAAAACAGGGGGTTTGAAAGAACAAAGTTCACTAGGTTAAAAACCGCGGACTAGGTGTATCTGCCCGCAGGATAGTGTATGTGTCCTTTTCGAATGACCTGACATTTGTGAAGCCTTCATGGTGGCATTTATTCTTTAGAATAAAAAGTTTTTGTTACCTTTATGCAAGTGTGTCATCTGTACCCTGTTGCCTCATTTGAGTAGAGGCCGATGGTTTGCCCTACTGCAGTGTACTGTCAATATCAATTTCAATACAGTACAGATAAATGAGCTTCATTCCTGTGTGCATCCGAAATTGGCGTGATCACGAGGGGAGTGACTGCTTGAATTTGTAGTGTACACTTCCGTACAACCCGACCGAAAGTCCGTCCAATTCGTCTGATCATAAACTAGAATGGGTCAGTAGTCCGAATAGCTTCTGCTGCTCCGCTTTTCTGGTTCGAACCATGTGGGATCCATCATCCTTAGAGCGGGTCCGAAGTGAACGTGACATCCAGCGTCATCCGATGTCGGCAATCCTGACGGTTGGAACTTTTGATCCGAGGGTTGACATTTACCGACATCCAGCGTCATCCATTCGACGCTTCACTTCGGATACGCCCTTAGTGTGCTGCATTTGTGGATGGAACCCGCTCTCGACGTGCAGGGTGATTTGCTTTTATACCGGAAAAGGCGTCAGAGCACCAAAAAAAAAAGAAGAAAATCGACCGCAAGCACCCTGCCCGTGCTAAGTCCGGTGGTTGTGCATCTTCTTTGGAGTACAAGGTCATCCTTTGGAGTTCCCTTCCCACCGAGGCCTCCATTACAGAACACCCAATACGTGTACACACGCAGTGTACGATCATAGAAGCGGGGCAATTCCTGCACTTTCCGAGTGCATTTTCTTTTTTACATCACTCATGAATGGTAGTCAGCACCCTAGAAACCTGGGTTGTGATGCAAGACCGGCCAAGTGTATGCAGCTGGCAGTTGTTTGAAACAAGCAGCCCCGGGCAGGTGGTTGGATCCGTGCCCTGTAAACGCATTCAGGACTTTCAATGTTGATTTGTCTTGCGCACTCAAGTTGTTATGGAATCCAAAATCACCGCCTCTGTCTGAACAGAAATGCACTGTCAAGGTCAGCTGTACACCTCGTCGTTACGGCGGCTGGAGGCTTGGCTTGGAAGTTGGAACAATTCGCAACCAATGGCCAACACCTTGTTGACAAGCACCAGCACCACAAACACAAGACGGCGTTTCTGAGAATGGGTTTAACTTTTGTTTACAGTTCTGGTACACTGTTGAGGGCGGGGTCAGCGCGTTCATTTGTTGCTCATTTACAGCTCATTCTGAGCGGTTACACTTTTTGCGTCACGGTTTAAAACGGTGAATCTTGAGAACCGCTGTGAACCGTCTGGAATCCTTTTGCGCCACGATGGTTGGGCTGTGCAAATGTAATGGGTGGGCCGACCTCGCCCTGAAGCAAAAGCCGCTCTCGATCGTACAAAGTCGTACTTGACCGCTTAGTTTCAACACAGTGTGGACCAGGAGACCCGGCTTAAGGACGCGTCCCATCTAGCAGACCAGAGGAGGTTCGACAGTGACACCGAACCTGACAATTCAAAAAAGGTTCGGGTCCGATCAATACCCAGAATTGTACAGCACCCTGGGTTGGCACCGATGTTTGGGTAGCAAGTTCGGGATGGCAGGGTTGCCGTAGTATACAGTAAACCGGACTTATGACGGTTGTAAAGGCGTGTGTACTCGAGGTTCGACCTTCTTCCTAAGTTCGAACTTTTAGCGAGGTTCTTCTCGGTAGGATACAGTTGAGAGACATGTCGCCACGGTGCAAAGCATTTACTGTTGGAACCTTGACAATTTTCACCAAATGACACACGCCCTGTCGATCTATGTCGCCAAGCGCAAATATGACAGTCGCTATGTCGGGTTACTGGATAATGCGAGGCGAAGAACGTTCACATAACCCCTTCCCCAACTGCCCATCCCACACAACCGTTGGGTTGGAAGGGCCGCCTTATGCTGGTCATGGCGGATGTACTGCAGCATTGCTACCATTGGTGGATTAGTTGCAAGGGTTGCTCTCGCCACCAGCCCCTCTTCGGCCACCATGCACGCCCAGTGCTCACTATTCCGTCCATCCCTACTACCACCTTCCACATCAATCCCCCGCGCTCGCGGCCGCCTGATGCCTTTCGCTATCGCTTCGAAAGGCGGAAGAGAGGAGGGAACGAGCGAGGACAATTCGAAGCAGCCCCGGCCGTTATCGGGAGACATTCCCTCCTTCTCTATTCCAAATCCCCTTCCTTTCCGCTCGCTTACTTTTCCCAACGTCCCTGAATCGAATTCCGGCGTGGCTTCCGGTGCTGCGTCTCCTGGTGACGCGGACCCTTATCTTAGCTCGCCGGCAGCCATGGATGAAGCCTCTACGTGGTCCAGCCTTGCTGCTAGCACTCTCAGCGAGCTTGACGGTGTCGTCGCGAAAATTTCAACGCGAGGAGAAATTGCGAACACAGGAGATCGAGGGTTGGGAATGGGTGAAGGGAGAGGAGGCTTGGCAGATCGAGGAGGAAGAGGACAAGAGTCCGGTGGTAGGGAAGCAGGAGGGTTGGGGTTGGGGGATAAGAAGGCGTTAGTGCGTGGTTCAGACGGGGACGGAACGAGGCCAACAGATCGATTAGCAGGACAAGAGGCAGTGAGAGGTCTAGAGCAGACGGCTGGGGTGAAATGGCTGGCTAGGGCAAAGCAACAGGCGCTTCAGCCTAACAAGAGGTCCTGTGAGGAGCAAGGAGATGGACAGGGCGCGGATTGTGGGGAAGGTGAGAGGAGTGGGAAAGGAGGCGATGATGACGATGATGAGCGTGTCGATCCGACCTTGGAGAGAGGGCGAGGAGACGGGGACCGTGATGTGTTGCCTGTTTTGGCAGCAGATGTGGAGAGATTCATTGTGGCGTTGGAAGAGCTGAAGAGAGAGGCAGTGTCGCTTGGCATTCCGGGGTATGCTCTTCCGCGTGTCGAGAAAGAGGAGGATCTGGGAGCCATGGTTAAGAAGCTTTTGGAAGCTCGCAATGAGGTGCTGGGGATTATTGCGTCGAGGTTAAGTTCTAATTTGTAATTGTTCTACAGGGAGAGATGTATGTGCTTGTGAATGACAGCATGGCTGAACTAGCCTGCTTGTTTTGTTGTACCCCAATAATTATTATAATCTTTAGTGTAGTAGTGCCTTCTTGATATATATTTTTTTCTTCAAATTTAAGAGCACGTTAGCGAAACAGAATGAACATCGCGCACACCCGTAACAGCAGCCGTTTCACCCACCAGTTTCCCCTTCCGAGGCAAGGAACGTCGCACTCTCTTTGCTTAGCTGCGATATTTTATTCGCGCAACGCTATCAGTGGCTAACGGGGAATCCCCAGTTCCTCTTTCCCTCATGAATCGCCACCGCGGTCCCGCGAATCGCGCCGCCGCCGCCAACGCCGGTTGGCTTTCCCGCGCCGTAAGCGCCGTGTTCTCGGTGGTTGCCGTGGCGGAGTTCGAGATTCTGTTCGTCGCGTTTCTTGTCCTCGTCTACCTTTTAGTTCGCGACTTGGTAAGACCTGGAAGACAGTCAGCATCATACGGCCGTTGGGATACACCGTAGCGCGATCATGTTCGTTGATCATGTCTTATACGTGACATCCAAGGTCAGGCATGTCGCACGGTCAGGCATGTCGCACGGTCAGGCATGTCACGGTCTGACACATGTCTTGCCGCTCACGCGTGTCGATTTAGGGCTTGTTTCCTCTCCTTGTGCCGTGCGTGCCACCAGCTTGAATTCGTGAGACTGAGGCTCCGCGTATGAGTGCCACGTGTCCTTCCTCTGTACACTGCGTCGCATTCCGTTCTGTTCCGTCTTACGGTTACGTCAAAACATTTGGTTCTATCCCTTCGCCTTACTCCTTCCTCACCACCCTCCCTCGCGCACAATCCCCCCCTCGTCACCGCCGCCGCCCCCACGTCCCCCAAATCTTCCCCCCGGTCCCCGTATTCCCCCCTCCCCTTGCGTGTGCTCCGCCAACGACCGCAGCTGCAGCAGCCGCGGTTCAGCGGGATATTCGCGCACAAGTCCAGCCAGGCGGAGTTCGGGTTCCTCTTTGGCGGGGGGGGCGCAAGGGGGGGAGGCGCAGCTCGGGGGGCGGACGGGGCAGGCGGAGCCTTTGGGGGAGGGCAAGGCGCATTCTAGTCTGTCTCTGTCGGGATTTTTTTCTTCCGTCGTAGCTTGCGGCTGTGCTGCCGAAGGGGAGGTGGAAGGAAGGAGGGTTCAATGTAAAGGCGGCTGTAGCTCTTGTCCAATCATCAGGAACCTTTGGGGGCACGTTTCAAGTTTTATCCGATCTGCTAATCAGAGCCATTAGGGCAGCACAAGAAGCTCGACTAGAGTAGACTCTGCTGGCAGCAGGTGGCGCCTGGTTGGGGGGCACGTGGACGCGGCTAGAGACACCGACGAGCCACTCACTCACTCACTCACTCACTCACTCAGTCACTCACTCGCTCGCTCGCTCGCTCCCCCAGTGTAACACTCACTTCACTCCGTACGGAGGCCTTGCTCACGGCACGGGCTGATTGGCGCGGACGGGACGGACGCCATGTTTCGCAACACATTCCAGTCGGGCTTCCTCTCAATCCTCTACAGCCTAGGGTACGTACGCGCATTACGTGCATTACGTGCATTACGCGCACAGTGCACTGTGCACCCTCGCCTGCTTCCTCTCCTCCTCTAATCTCGACTCCACCCGTCATTCCATATGCATGTACCCCTGCCTCCCCCCCTGGCTCCCCCCCTTTTTCCTCCCGCACAACCTCCCTCCCCCCTTCTCCTCCCCCCTCGTCGCCTCCATCTTGTGCTGTTCCTCCTGTTTCTCTCCCCTTGCCCTGCCACGCACCTGCTGTTCCCTTGCATCCTTGCACCCTGCTGTCTGTACTTTCTTCCTTCGCGCACCACTGTCTTCGTTCTCCTCCCTGCCTTCATCGCCTGTTCCTCTTGGTTATTTTAATTCTAACCTGCTCTTGTGTCATCTGTTGCGTCCCCTTTCCCTCTCCCCGCCCCTCCCCGCCTCTCCCCGCCCCTCCCTGTGCTTGGGTGCTTGCGTGTGCGTTCATGCGTGTGTGTTGCTGCCGATTGGCCTTGCATGGCGTATGTGCGCGTCTATGTGCATGCTGTGCATGCTGTGCCCTGCCATGGGATGTTTAACTCAACACCACTGTCGTGCGGGGTTCATGCAGCACCAAACCCCTTCAGTTGTGGGCAAAAGAAGGTATTCTGTTTGCCACCATTCATGGCCATAAATGCCATCAGTGCCCGTGCCCCACCATTCACGTACCTATTGCTGCATAGCCCCCATTGCTGCATAGCCCCCATAACCCCGTGGCCCTTCACATTTCAACAAACCCGACCTGGCCTTCTTTGTCCCCCCACCCACCATCCCACCCGACGCCGCTCCCTCACCCTAACCTCGCTCTCTCTCGTCTCCTTCCACTCTCTCCCCCTTCCATCCCCCATCGGCACTTCTCATTCAACAGAAGACCTTCCTCCCTTCTCATCCTACTCCCATTCCCTCTTTCCTTCTCCCATCTCCCTCTCCTTCTCCCTGCCAGTCCCCCATCCGCTCACCCCCTCACTCTCCCCTCTGCTTCCTCCCTCCTTCACCCCACACACCTCCCTCCTGCAGAGGGTGAGGGCACAGTGATGCGAGGGACAGAGGGGGACATCCAATCAACCGCCATAGATGATTCTCGAGGCGATTCAAACTCCCCCTCCCTCCGACCCTCTCCCCTACTCCCTCCCCTCCCCCTCTCCCCCACACCCCATACCTTCCTTACGCAGAGGGCGAGGGCACGGTGAAGCGAGTGACAGACGCGGACATCCAGTCAGCCGCCATGGATGATTCTTGACTTAACTCAACCCCCGCCCCCACGCCACCCTCTCCCCCACTCCCTCCCCCCCCTTCCACCTCCCGCCCCTTCCTACACTTCCTTCGGCAGAGGGCAAGGGCACGGTACAGCGCGTCAGACGCAGACATGCAGTCAGCTGCCATAGAGTTCCTCTCTCCCAACATCCGCTCCAACCCTCTCCCCCTCCTCTCCCCCTTTCCCCTTCCCTCCCCCACCTGCAGAGGGCGAGGGCACAGTGAAGCGAGTGACAGACGCGGATATCCAGTCAGCCGCCATAGAGCTCCTGTCGCCCAACATCCGCACCACGTTCATCGCCTGCCCGCCCGACCCCTCGGCTGCTCTCGGCATCAAGCTGCCGTTCCTGGTGCTGGTGCTGAAGCCCCTCGACCGCTACTTCTCGTTCGAGGTCACGGTGATGGACGATAAAAACGTGAAACGGCGGTTCCGCGCTTCTAATTACCAGGTGATGAGGGGGGTTGGGGGAGCGAGGCGGGAGAGGTGAAAGGGGAAGTGGGAACGGGAAGAGGGAACGGGAAGGGGGGAGTTTAAGCAGGAGAGGGGGAGGAGGAGGTGTGGGAGGGGATGAGTCTTGAGGCGTCTTGGAAATCAAGCTGCCGTTCCTGGTGCTGGTGCTGAAGCCCCTGGACCGATACTTCTTGTTCGAGGTCACCGTGATGGACGATAAGAACGTAAAACTTTTCAGTCGACTCAAAAGTCTGTTCGAGGTCACTGTGATGGACGATAAGAACGTAAAACTTTTCAGTCGACTCAAAAGTCTGTTCGAGGTCACTGTGATGGACGATAAGAACGTGAAACGGCGGTTTCGCGCTTCCACCTGTCAGGTGTGGTGTGGGGAGAGATGGGAGGAGGGGGGGGGCGGAATGAGGGGAGGGGATGTGATGGTTGAGCTGGGGGAACCTTGGTTCTGGAGGGTATGTGTAGGCGCAGCACGTGAACATGCACACCAGCTGCTGCCTGCTCCTGGAGGCAAGCTTCGAGGCAACTCAGAACCCCATTACCCCACCATCCCTCTCCCCCCCCTCTTCCCCTGCTCCCCCTCCCGCTGTCCAGTCCACGACGCGGGTGCGCCCATTCATCTGCACGATGCCGCTGCGGCTGGAAGCAGGCTGGAACTCGCTGCTCTTCAACCTGGCTGACTTCACGCGGCGGGCGTACGGCACGGGGTACGTGGAGACGCAGCGCGTGCACGTGCACGCCAGCTGCCGCCTGCGCCGCATCTACTTCTGCGACCGCGTCTACTCCGACGACGAGCTCCCGCCCGAGTTCAAGCTCTTTGTGCCCTCCAAGGTGGGTGCTTTGCGGTTGACCGGTTGCATTCTTGAGACACTGATGAAGGAATTGCATTTGCATTGACTTGTTCGACTGCCTGTACTTGGATGGCGAGCTCCTGCCCGAGTTCAAGCTCTTTGTGTTCTCCAAGGTGGGTGTGCGCGTGCGCCTGTGTCGAGACTGCCTAATACATTTGCGTCTGTATGTACTCCCGAGATTAGCTCCCACCCGAGTTCAAGCTCTTCGTGCCCTCCAAGGTGGGTGCGTGCGCGCGGCTGTGTTGAAACTTAGCAAAGCTTTTGTGACCGGGAGAAGAGCTGCCTCGGGAGTTTGAGCGGTTGGTGCCATCCCAAGATGATAGACCCAGGGGGAGGGGGTGGGGGAGGGGGAGGGGGGAGTGGCCTGGCGGGAGGGGGAGCTGGGCAAGGCTCAGGGGGATACGGAGGGGGGTTCAGTGGGGGCGGAGGGGCAAATGGGGGAGGAGCAATGGGGGAAGCAGCGATGGGAGGAGCAATGGGGGGGGCGCTTATGCGGCTTAGTGTCGTCCAAGGTGAGTGTTCTTGCAGCTGGACACTAAGCTCTTGACAGGTCGCATGGTAGGCTCTTGAAGCACAGGAGGGGCTCGTGGTTGGTTACTGTGATGGGGTTTCTTCTCTGTGTTCTCAGCTGACTTTTTCACAGAGGCGTTCTTTTCATGCTTGTGTAAGCGAGAGTGTGGGCAACAGAGCTCGCAGGCATGCACGTGTGCAGAGACACAAATGTGGATGCATGTGTGTCTGATCGGACACACCACATGCACCTGCACTCATGTGTATTCCAACAAGTGTTTCTTGCATGGCTTCTCTTGTGTCACCGAGTTGTTACATTGTGCAGGTCAAGTAAATGTCATCATCATCCTCTTGAAGACTTCTCCATTTTTCTTATCCCTTTGCCTTCCTGGCTCTCTATAAGCTTGCCCCGCATACCCAAGACCTGCCAGTGCACGCATGTAAGGATTGTAGTATTATTTACCAAGAATTGCTGCCTAGATTTCTATTCATATGTTGTTTTCTCACAGTTGCAATGTTCCTCTAAGTACACAGTTGAGATTGCTCTGAGAATGGACCGTGGCCAATAATAGAGCGACTAGTCGCAACACCGACCAGATTTCTTGCAGATCCAGCGATGCTGGAGAAGAGCTGATTTCGAGCTGAGTTGGGCCAATCAGTTTGCTTTGCGCCACTTTTTTCGTGCAAGCATCTCGCACCAACAGTGAGGAGCAAGTTCCTTTGTAGCTACACTTTGCAGTCGCTAGCGAATAGCGTTACGACACGCGAGAAATTACCATTCTGAAGCACATGCCAGCATCCCCGCCTCCACCATGCTTCCGCCCGCAATGGAACCTTCTTTGGGCGCACAGATGATGACGTCATCCCCAGAAAATCCCTTCCCTGCCCTGGAATTTTCCCGCTGATGGCGGAGCAGCCTCTCGTTTCGGCAATCCCGTTCCGCTTTCCATTTCCGCCTCCCTCCTCACCTTCCGCCAATGTTTCCGCCAGTGTTGCTCTCGGGATCTCCTCCATCCCTCCTGCTCCGCCAAACAGCCAACCAATCAGCAACGTTGCACGAGTTTCCGTGCTTCGCTCTGGGAACAGATTCCCTTCACTGCTTTTTCTTGGACCAAAAACGATTCTGTTAGAGCGTCAGCATAACGCAGGCGAACTCGCAAGCTAACGATTGCTCAACGCCACACGGATCCAACAGAATCCGTGCAGAGCACAGCCAGATCCACGAAGTTTATCACCTCGGCTTTCAAGCATCCACTTTCACACCGTTGATCGCTGTCTCCTGTGAACCACGTCCTTCAAGAAAGCGACATGGCTGATCCGTCAAGCGAGATTGAGAACGAGCCCATTCTGCGGCCCAACCCGCAGCGGTTCTGCATGTTTCCGATCAAGTACAACGAGGTGTGGGAGTTTTACAAGAAGGCCGAAGCCAGCTTTTGGACCGGTACGTTACGACCCACTCCTAGCGCGAACGTATCTTGCATTCTTTGCATTCTTTACATTCGTGGATTCGTTGCATTCGTTTGCACTTGCAGCATTCGATGCATTTAATGCGCCTGAACGTTACAAGATGCTTTCTTTTCTACGCTGCTGTCTTTCCCATCTGTTTCCGTGCCGCTATCTCTATCGTCTGTCGCTAGTGCTTCCAGCCAGGTCGAGGCTGCCTTTTCCCGCCGCATCCACTCTCTCTCTCACACTCTTTCCGTTTGCATTGCCTTCCTGCGTTCTGTCCCGCTCTGCTGCTTACGCGTGCGCCTGCTTCCGCGGCTGCGTCTCCTGCTGGTGCCGCTTGCTTCTGCTCCTGCTGCTGGTGCTGGTGCTGGTGCTGCTTCGTAGTATCGCCTCGCCTCCTTCTCGTGTTATTACGCGCCACGCGTCACGGCGGCAGCGGAAGAGGTGGATCTATCGCAGGACGTGCAGCACTGGGAGGGGCTCTCGCCCGACGAGCGGCACTTCATCCTCATGGTGCTCGCCTTCTTCGCCGCATCCGACGGCATCGTCCTCGAGAACCTCGCCGTGCGCTTCATGAAGGAGATCCAGATCCCCGAGGTACCGTTCCGTACCGCACTCAACTTGCATCATGACCGTCCGTACCTACCGTGTATCACGACCAGTCGTTTCCTTCTTAGCGTTTCCCACGTTGTCGCTTGTGTGTCTTCTCCCATGTTGTGCTTGCCTTTGTTGTCACTCTTCCTTGCTGTCGCTCTTGGTTCTCACTCGCAGGCCAGAGCATTCTACGGCTTCCAGATCGCCATCGAGAATATACACTCAGGTACGCCCTCGCGCTGCTCGCCTCCCCTCGGTCCCGCTTTTCAAGACGCTTTCATGCGCCGTTTCCCGCTTGCCAACTTCCACCCGTCTCCCTTACCCGCTCCCCGTGTCCCCTTTTCGCGCGTCTCCTCGCTCTCTTCCCCATGCTCTCTTCCCCTCGCCTAAAACTGCTCCCCTCCTCCCGCCCCCACTCCCCACTCTTCCCCTCCCCCGCTTCCCTCCCATCCCCAACCCCCCCGCTCCCCTCCCGCTTGTCCCTTCCGCCGCTTTACCCCTTTCCCTTCCGCACCCGTTACCCAGCGCGCAGAGATGTACATTCTGCTGCTGGAGACGTACATCTTATTCCCCGCTCCTTTCTCGCTTCCCCTCCCCCTTCCCCTTACCTCCCCCTTTCTCCCCCCCCTCCCCTCTTGGGCGCGCAGAGATGTACAGTCTGCTGCTGGAGACGTACATCAAGGACCCCGAGGAGAAGGACCGGCTGTTCCGCGCCATAGAGACAGTGCCGTGTGTGCAGAAGAAGGCCGAGTGGACCACGCGCTGGATCGACGGCCACTCCAGGTCAGCCTCATATAAGGAGGCTTCTATCAACCAATGGCGCACAAAGTTTTTGGTTCTTTTTTCTCATCAGGAAATTCTGAACGTCGCGCTTCCGTGAATGATTGCTCCTTCACTCTTCCCTCTTCGTTTTCCCTCAACCCCTCCACCTTTTCCTCTCCGGTACCTCCCACTTTGCTCCCCCTTCCCACTCACTTTCCCTCTTACCTCCCCCACTTTAACTGTGTGTGCGCGTGCATGCGAGCAGCAAGACGAGCTTCGCAGAGCGCATAGTGGCGTTCGCGTGCGTCGAGGGTATTTTCTTCTCTGGCAGGTAACGCGCTGCTGCTCCCTGCTCTGCCCAACCTTGCCGTCAACGTGTGCTGTGCTGTGCTCTGCTCTGCTCTGCTGTGCCATGCTGTGTTATGCCATGTCCTGTTTGCCCCGCCTTGCTCCCCGTGCAACTGCCTTGCTGCTTTGCCTCCCCTCTCTCCCCCTCCTTCCCCCTCTCCACACCCCCCTTTTTCCCGCCCTCGCTTCTCTTCCCCTTCTTCCCCTGGTCTCCCCGCTAGCTCCTCCGTCAATCTGTGCCATTTTCCTAAATATGTGCCAGGTGAACTCATGCAATCCTCCTCCCTTTCCCCTTTCCCTCTCCTTCCCCGTTCTCCCCCCCCTCCCCTCGTCTTTCCCAGTTTCTGCGCCATCTTCTGGCTGAAGAAGCGCGGGCTGCTGCCTGGGCTGACCTTCTCGAACGAGCTCATCTCCCGCGACGAGGGCCTGCACACCGACTTTGGCTGCCTTATCTACTCGTGCGTTCTGTGGGGGCAGGGGGGCTGGTGATGGTTGGAAGGGGTCATGGTTCATGAAGTTATTGCGTGAGGCCTGCACACTGACTTCGGCTGCCTCATCTACTCCTGCGTGCCGGGGCGGGACGGGCGGTGGTTGGGAGAGGGAGGGAAAGGGGGAGAGAGTAAGTGAGGGAGGGAGGGAGGGAGGGAGGGAGGGAGGGAGAGGGGAGGGGGGCGGACGGGGGGAGGGAGGGAGGGAGGGAGGGAGGGAGGGAGGGAGAGGGGAGGGGGGAGGGACGGGGGGAGGAAGGGATGTAAGGAAGGAGGACGGAAGAGGGGAGGGGGGTTGTGTGCTGACTTTCTCTGCTTCATCTACTCGTGTGTATCATCAATATTCGCCGCAAAACTCGCCTCCAATCTCGTTCCCCCTGTGCAGGTTGCTGGAGAACAAGCTATCGGAGGAGCGCGTGAAGGAGATCCTGTGTGACGCGGTGGCGATCGAGGAGGAGTTCATCCGTGATGCACTGCCCACGGAGCTGGTGGGCATGAACGCCACGCTCATGTGCCAGTACATCGAGTTCGTCGCTGATCACCTGCTGGTATGCTTGATTGCGCCGCATGTGCTGGGGGGGGGTGTTGTGCGCTGGATATAACGGCTGTGACGGCGGTAGAGGGGCGAGGAAGGCGCCCTGGGTACGAGTGAGCTGGTGGGTGGGCATGGACGCCACGCTCGTGTGCCAGTACATCGAGTTCGTCGCTGATCTCCTGATGGTACGCTGCTCCCCGTTAAATAGTCTATTCATGCGCCATGGGTATGGGCCATGGCTATGCAGTGGCATGTTATGTACCAGGGCCTTTACCTTACTTTCCATTATCGGATTAGTTTTAAGGTCACGTGCATCAGCTCTTTCTTGCTTTGTACTGTCACTTTCCTGCAACCATTCCTCTCTTGCAATTTCCAATTCTTTTTTTTTCTTCTCTTTTCTTCTTTTCTTTCTCGTGTGTGTGTATCTGGCTCCCTTGTTGGGGCCTGTGGTGGTTCAGATTGCACTGGGATGCAGCAAGCAGTACAACGCCACTAACCCCTTTGACTGGATGGAGCTTATCTCGCTGCAGTGAGTCCCGTCGCAATGCAACCCGCACACCTTACTGCTACCGTTCTGGTTTCTCTTTTGAGTCGTCTCAAAAAGCAGTACAACGCCACTACCCTCCTTGACTGGATGGAGCTCATCTCACTGCAGTGAGTCCCATCGCAATGCAACCCGCACTCATGCCTGATACTAGTACCACTCCAGCTGTCTAGTGGTTCGCACCAGCCGTGAAGTCACCCCCACCGTGCATGCATCCACCACCACCATAAGTATCACCCCCATCACCATCATCACCCACCTTCCCCCCTTAACCTTCGCTCTTCCACGCCCCTCCTCCCTTCCCCTGTCGTTCATCCGCCCTCCCCCTTCCGCCTCCCCGCTGCACCCTTCCCTCTTCCAGAAGCGGGTGGTCGATTACCAGAAGGCATCGGTGATGGCCGGGCTGAACGGCGCACCTGGGCAGGGCAGAGTCACCCACCCTCCCTTATCCCCCTTTGCTCTTCCCCCTCCCCGCTCCCCCAGGGGCAAGACGAATTTCTTTGAGAAGCGGGTGGGTGAGTACCAGAAGGCATCGGTAATGGCGGGGCTGAACGGCGCGCCTGGCCAGGGCAGAGTCTTCAGCACTGACGAGGACTTTTGAGGACCAGGGAGCAGTGCGCTGCGAGGGATACATTAGGAGCATTGCAAAGAGGGTCGTGGACAGGGTATGGTTGGAGTGGTGGAGGAGGGGCGCACCTGGTTAGGACAGACTCTTCAGCACTGAGGGGAGGACTTGTGAGGGAGAAGCAGCGGGTTTGTCTCATATATTGCGGCGGGACAGGGCAGAGTCCCCACCCCTGCACTGAGAGGAACAGATACATATAGGAACAGATTCTTGTTATGCTAAGGCTATGATGTACAGTACAGTTTCTTGTACGTGAATATCAGCACTGCACTGCTGGCAGTTGAAGTTATAACAATGGCTGCAATAGGTGATGCCCTGTGATTAGAAGTCCTTGCAGCTGCACTATTACGGTGTCTACGGCTACAGAAGTGCTAAATGTGAACACAATGTGCTAGTACAGTAGTACACATCTGGCAGATTGAGTACACATAAGGCAACTGTTGTTTCACACAGCAGCCCAGGGAGACTGGTCACGCAGCAACTAGACATCTTGGCAGCAGGTAATACCAGTAAATACTAGAGTTAGAAACCGCAGTTGTGACATGAAGGTATCACTCTTTATTGAGAAAGAAACTACCATTCTACAGCAGCAGCAGCAGTAGCACCAGCAGCAGCAGCATAAGGAACGGGTAAGAATATCTACTCCACTGCAGTCAGTCTAAAAGCCTGCCCCACCCACAAGCAGCAGCTGCAACAGAACACAGGGGAAACAGGCAAGGCTCCTGCTGTCAAGTGCTGCCTGCTGCTAGACCAATCTGTAAGCCATCACTTCCCTATCACTTCATATCACACCATATCACACCCAACCAAACCCCACAACACCCCAGCAAGCAAACCCCATCACCCTCCTCTCAACCTCCCACCCCCGCATCACCACACCGTCCACCATTCTCTTCGTCCCCTTTCCATCCCTTTCCACCCCCTTCCACCCCTTTCCACCCCTTTCCACCCCTCTCCACCCCTCTACACCTCACGCGCCTCCCAGCGCAGCAGCACGCTCTTCCGCAAGCCCCCTCTCCGCAGCAATTCTCTCCTCCGACGCCTTGCCCCCCCCCAGGTGCAGCAGCGAGGACACGTGTGCGACGGAGGGGAAGCGCGTGAGCCCGTCCACCTTGCTGGCGCTGTCCGCCTGCCCCACCAGGTGGTCCCAGCGACCGAGAAGAAGGAAGGCAAACAGCAGCAGCGATGTCGTCACGCCCAGAGCAATCTTGTACCCCTGGGTGGTTATTTGGGAGCGGGGAAAGGGGGAGATGGGGGTGGAAGGGGAGGGGGAGAGAGCGCGGTGGTCCGTCTTGTGCTCGTAGAGACCTATGCTGTTTCTCATCATGACGAGGACTCGAAACTCACTCATCTGACCGATCAGGCACACTCACTCACGCACTCGCACCTGCACGTCCTGGTCCGTCTCGTGCTCGTAGAGGCCCAGCCCAAGGAAGAGCACGTACCAGCTTTTGAGGCGCCTCATACATTCCCCCATCCCTTGCAGACCAAAGCACGGAGAGAGAGACGCACCTGGGACACACACGCACCTGCACGTCCTGGTCCGTCTCGTGCTCGTAGAGGCCCAGCCCGAGGAAGAGCACGTACCACCCCATGCCCACCGCCAGGATGCCCAGCAGCCAGTGCGCGAAATACCACACCACTCGGATCTGCGCCGGGGATGGTTGGGTTGATGGGAGGGGGTTGGGGGGATGGGTGCGTGGGCCGGGGTGGGGGTGGGGGTGGGGGTGTGGGGGGTCATGCAGTGGCGTGCAGGGGATGCCCATCAGCCAGTGCGCGAAATACCACGCCACACGTATCCGCGCAGGGGATGGTTGGCGGGACGGGAGGGGGTGGGGGAAGGGAGGGGGATTATGAGGTTGGCGAATGGTTGTGCGAGTGGTTGGGGAAGCGGGGGGCGAGGGGGAAGGGGGTCATGAGAAGGCGCGCAGGGGTTGCGCAGCAGCCGGTGTGCCAAGTACCGCCCCACATGCATCCGCGGGGAGGATGAGGGCGCATGGGTTTAGATTATGGGGGCGGAGGACATGGGGGCGGAGGACATGGGGGCGGAGATGGGGGCGGAGGGGATGGGGGCATAGTGAAGTAACGGAACATGGAGAGGAGGCATTAAGGGCGACTTTAGAGGCGCCGAAAGCAGAAATCCCGTTGCCCACCATGTTCCCCTTTTGGGCATAGGTAGGGTAGGGACAGGGTAGACACGAGTGCGTCACAACGCGCGCCTTATTTCCCTAGTGCGCCTTAACCCCTAGTGCGACTTGGCGCACGACACCCAGGCATGCATGCAGATTGTTTTGAGAGGCATCTCAACACTCCCACCGCACCGCACCTTGTTCCCCTTGTGCGGGCGCACCTTGTTCCCCTTGTGCGGGCGCACCTTGTTCCCCTTGTGCGGGCGCACCTTGTTCCCCTTGTGCGGGCGCACCTTGTTCCCCTTGTGCGGGCGCACCTTGTTCCCCTTGTGCGGGCGAATGACCCCCAGCAGCGGCTGCGCGAGCGTGAAGGTGAAGACGGCGATGCCCATGCGCGCATGGCGCGACTCCGTGGCGGCATCCGCGCCGAACTTGGCGACGCCGATGAAGAACCCGATCATCGCCAGCATCACCGCCAGCAGCTAAGGGGGAGTTGAGCAAGGGGGGGATAGGGGGGAAGGGGGAGGGTAGGAGGGTGAGGGGAGTGAAGGGGCGCGTCGCCGCCTCGCTGCCGAACTTGGCGACTCCGATGAAGAAACCCGATCATCGCCAGCATCACCGCCGGCAGTTGCGGAAATTGGGGGGCGCGGGGAGGATGTGAGCGGGAGGGAGGAAGGTGGGAGGGTGAGGGGGTTGCGCGAATTTGAGGGGGATAGGCAACACGGATTGGACGGGTAGGAACGGCAGGTGACGAAAGAGCGAGGGAGCGCGAGAGAGCGCGAGGAAGCGAGGGGGCGAGGGAGAAAGGGTTCGAGGGTTCGAGGATTCGAGGGAGCGAGAGGGAGCGCACCTGGATGCCCCAGTGGATGGCGAACCACTTGGGCGTGACGGTCTGCAGATGGCGCGCCGTGATGAGCCCCACGGGCATCAGCAGCCCGTACGCCAGCCACAGCATCCACCCGTGCACCTGGGGATTGCCGTGGCGGGGCGCGGGGAGAATGAAATGAGCGGGGGAGATGGGGAGAAGGATGGGAAGAGGAAGATGACGAGGGGGGTGGGGGGAAAAATCGGCATCGCGTACGCCAGCCACAGCATCCACCCGTGCACCTGGGGATTGCCGCGGCGCGAGGAGATGAACGCAGGGAGGCGTGAGATAGATGGGAAATGCGTGAGGGCAATGTTTGAGAATCTCAGAAATCGCTCGGAAGGGTGGAAATGAGAAGCAAATAGGCCAGCAGCAGCAGCCACCCGTGCACCTGGGGATTGGGAGAGAGAGGCGGGAGAAAGCGAGGGAGAGAGGGAGAAAGAAGGGGGGAGAAAGAGGGGAAAAACGAGTAGGAGGGAGTGGAAGAGAGCGCGGGGACGAGAGGAAGAAAGACGAAGAGAGAGTGGGGAGGGGGGGGGGGGGGGGGAGAGAGGGAGGGAGAGGTAAGGGAAGAGGCGGGGAGAGGGAGGAGGCGAGTGGGAGGAACAGGTAAGAACGAAACGGGGAGAAGAAAGCAAAAAGACGGCCGCGCACAGTTGCAACTACAGCCTGAAGATTCGTTCAAAGAATTTCCAGGCTGCTGGTTCTTGTAAGTTACTTTTATCATTTCAAGAACCAGCTTGTCTCGTGAAACGACCTTGCAAACTGTTTCAACGACCGCTTGGAAGATCGTTCATGAGTTTCTCTTCATCATGGCTGCGTGTATCCACGTATCCCATCTCCGCATTTCCTAGATCGCCAGTATTCAAGGAGCGCGCTTGAAATATCATCTTTTTGTTCTTTTTCCCGAAAGAACATCTTTATCCCCCTCTCCCTTCTCCGGCCAGGCATTCTCAAAGACAGCCTCAGTATCTTTTTTACGGCAGCGCACCTGAAACAGCGCGGGGTCAACGCTATCCTCCTCTTCCTCCGGCTCCGCAGAAGGCGGAGGAGCTGACGTGGCGTTTGAGGCCGACGTGGAGTTTGCGGCTGACGTGGAGTTTGCGGCTGACGTGGAGTTTGAGGCCGAAGAATCGCTAGCGGAGGCTCCGAGGCTGAAGAGAGCAATGCAGGCGACAAGCATCATCACGGAGATTAATATCCACCGCGAGCTGCGAGCCATGGCGCGCGGTATTTAAATACGGGACAGGTATCAGTACTGTTTTTTACGGTTAGTCTTGGGTGCTTGGCTGGCCGACTTTCACCAAAGCAAATCGCGAAGTGGTGGAGATTGTCAGACTAAAAAGAGGACAGCGACGAGAATGCGCGCTTCGCAACGTCCGCGAACAGCGCCTTGGAAAGGCGGCGATCGACGCGAGGCAACTACGGTGCTGTTCGCCAGCAAATCGTTTTTTAAATTGAAAACGATGGCATCAGCATCGCGACCGCATATGGAAACGGGAGCGGAACCCTCCTCCGAGGGTTGGGCGAAATGCCGTTCAAGAAACTTCTGCGCCTGCGCTCAAGAAATTTCGCATCGCATCTGGAACCTCCATTCCACCTTCCCTTCGATCCCTTTTGAACGGCAATGCGACGGCTGTGCCATCGCTGTGCTTCGAAAAACGCGGCATGGCGATGGCATGGCTATGGGATGGTGTTTTGTCTGGGGAGGAAGTTTCGTCCCCTCTTCCATATGGCATCGAAACGTCAAAATTGGTGTACATAAGTGTGCGTTCGCCAGACGCACAGTTTGTTTGTTGGTTTGGACGGTAGGTGAGGCTCGGCACATTTTTCACGGGCTGACCAAGCTGACGGAGGTTAACGAACTCTAACTGACGGGATCAGGAAGGCGAGACCCACCTTCCTGATCCCTCGTTATCCCATTGTTTTTAGATATATGGTGCTGGCGAACAGCCCCTATATGTTTATGAGGCGCGGAAGGAACGAGGCAAGGAATAATTAGAAAAGGCAGAAGAGGGAAGCATATCAGCCCAGCACGCAGCGAGCGAGCAGAGTAGGCTTGACTCCCTCGATTTGCTCGGAAGTTGTTCGATGTTGCACTGACCGCGAGCATCATTCCCGCCACCGACCAGCTTTCAACCAATCATAGACAGCCGTGTAAGATGGAGTCTGACGATTTGCAACTTTTTGAACAAGCGGGAAGCCCTCGGGGTGCGTGTCGTAGATTTTTTTCTGGAGATTAACGGCACAGATCTGATGGTGACAATATCTGTCAGTCCAGCTAAGAATTGCCAAGAGCTGCTGTGCCTTTTTGCGATAGAATGATGGAACGTGTGCAACGCGTGCTGACGTAAGGCACGGAGACAACCACCGTTGAATGGAGAATGAAGGAAAGCAGGTTTGGGGGAACCAATCAGTGGTGATTATGGCGGTGACAAGCTCACAATTGGAGCCTACTATTTTCAGTTCCAAAATCTACCAATTCTGCCAAAATGGCCCCTTTATTTAAGTTGATTTCCAACACTTCCAAATCAGGTCTAAGGCTTTACGCTATCTCCCCGAAGAAGGATTGACAGGTACCAGCCAAGGAACTCACTTAGCATGAGCGTAAACTGATATCGAGGAGAAAAAAGCAATTGGACGAGTGAAAATAAAGCAATGAAACAGGAAGAATATTTGGAAAAGGGAAGAAACAAGCTTTTTGCATTACAGGCCAGCCCATGTGTACCTGCCAGCTTTCCCCTCACAGCGACGCGGTGCGAGTGAGCTCTCTTTCTGCGGGTCGGTGCCTCAGCTGGTACTTCTTCAAGTGCCGCCGCACCGACGCTTTCTCAGCAACAGCAGCCATGGCTGCACTCACATGCATCGATGCACTCACTGCCACCGCTCTCAGTTTCCCCAGCGACCGAATCTGCAACTGCTGCTGCTGCTGGTGCTGGTGCTGGTGCTGCTGTTGCTGCTGCTGTTGCTGCTGCTGGTGCTGCTGCTGCTGGGCGCTGTGACTCATACTCTGGAAATTTCTCGGCCCAGCAACACTGGCTTGCGTCTGTGAGTGTACCAGGGCTGTGCGTGGGCGGGGAGGGGAGTGAGAGCAGAGGTCCACAGCCGATGCAGAGCTGATCCGCATCTGCTGCTGTCCCTCTTCCTCTTCTTCCTCCTCCTCCTCCAGGACTGGAGATGTGCCAGGAGAAGCGTTCGGAGTTGCATTAAAGGAGGAGGAGCAGAGCACGGCTGAATTGGGCGCCAGTACAACCACGGATGTGCTTTCATCATACGAGCGCGAGGGAGTGAGCGGCGTGCCGTTGGGAGGTAGGCGGTGGAGGTGACTATTGCTATTGCGGGTGAACGAGTTGGTGCCACTCGTGCTGCTGCTGATGCTGCTGCTGATGCTGTTGCTCATACCCTTGCTGGTATCTTTGCTTTCTCCCGCTTTCTCACCACCACCACACCACCACCACCACCACCACCACCACCACCACCACCACCACCACCACCACCACCACCACCACCACCACCACCACCACCACCACCACCACCACCACCACCACCACCACCACCACCACCACCACCACCACCACCACCACCACCACCACCACCACCACCACCACCACCACCACCACCGCTGCCGCTCACCTCCCTGTTCTCCCCCGCATCATTACCATTCACTCCGTTCGTTTCAGCAGCAGCAGAAGCAGCAACAGAATCACCAGCACCATTTGCAGCAGCGGCAGTCTTGGCGGCGGCGGCGGCAGCGGTGGCAGCGCGGGTGGAGGTGTAGGAGGCGACGCGCTGCTGGCGGAGCTCCAGCGCTGCAATCACCGTCACCTTCTGCCTCCGCCGCTGCTTCGCTATCGTCGCCATCGACATGCTTCCCAGCCGGTCAAACGCTACCTGGGGAGGGGAGGGATGGAGAGGGGCGTGGGATGGGGCAGAGTGGGAGGGAGAGGGGCGTGGAATGGGGCAGAGTGGGAGGGGATGGTGAGCTGGGTGTAGCCTGGTGAGGTGTGGTGTTCTGCCGTTGCTGCTGCTTCGCTGTGGTTGCCATGGACATGCTTCCCAGACGGTAAAAGCCACCTGGTGGGGCGCAGAGGGGCGCAAAGAGGTGGAGAGGGGCGTAGTGGGGCGTAGTGGGGCGGAGGGGGAGGGAAGTTGCAATAGAAGAGGTGAGCTGAGTGTAGGCTGGTGTGAGGTTATAGTGTTGCCGCTGCTTGGCTGTGGCGGCCATGGACAAGCTTTTCAGCCGGTCAAACGCCACCTGGTGGTGGGCACAGAGGGTGGAGAGGGTTGGAGAGGGGCGGAGAGGGGCGGAGTGGGTGGAGCGGGGCGGTGGAGGAGGGGAGGAGGGGAGGCAAGAGGAAGGCACAGGCACCGGCACCGGCACAGGAACAGGAACAGGCACACACGCAACGCAACGCACGCATATACAGAGGCATGCACTGACCTGCAGCAGCACCTCCGGGTCGTACTGCTGTGCTGTGGATCGCACCAGCACCTCCACCGCCTCCCCCACATGCGCCGCCTGGTACAGCTCCGCCTCATTCATCTGCCATACCATACAGGAGAGGATTGGGACGGGGAAAGAGTGCAGAGGAAAGTAGGATGATTGAGTACGGGGAAGCTGCCTCCGCCACATGCGCCGCCTGGTATAGCTCCGCCTCGTTCATCTGCCATACATGCCCACCGGCCATGCAGGGGGGAGGGAGGGGGAAAAAGTAAGAGAGTGGGGAGGGAAGTAAGACTGGGAGAAACGGGAGGTGCCATTACGGTTTCCCCCACATGCGCTGCCTGGTACAGCTACACTATGCTCATTTGTGGGATGGGAAGCATCAGGTGGGGGAAGGTGGAGGAGAGGGGCAAAAGGGGAGAGTACGCGGACAGGGAGAGGGAAAGTAATGGCTGAGGAGCTGACGAGGGAGGGGAGGGGGGGATGAGAGCAATAGGAGAAGAAAGGTGAATGAAAAAAGGACAACGAGTTGGGCAACGAAGCAGGTAGACACGCAGGCAGCTTGGCAGGCAGCATGGCAGGCAGCATGGCAGGCAGCATGGCAGGCATGTGCAATGTAATGCAGTGAGGCAGGCAGGGCAGGGAGGCGGACCTTGAAGAGTGCGAGCGCTACGCGGAAGAGCACCTTGGCACCCTCGTTGAACAGCACGTCCCACACCCGCAGCGTGGTCTGATGGCGCACGAAAGGAGGGGGGGGGGGGGAGAGAGCGGGTGAGGCACGGTGGCGGAGAATGGTGAGAAGAAAGAACGGGGCGAAGGAACCATACATCTCTCGTGCGGAAGAGCACCTTGGCACCCTCGTTGAACAGCACGTCTCACACACGCGGCATGGTCTGATGGCGCACGAGGGGGAGGAGGGGAGTGGGCGAGGTATGGTGGGGGAGGGGAGGATGGTGAGGTAGAAAAACGCGGAGGAACCACTTCAGTGGTGACGAGGAAAAGAGTGACTGAGGGGGCGAGAGAGAGGGTTCAAAAGCCCAGGCGAGGATTCAAATAGCACGTACGAACCTCGGAGGGGAAGCTCTTGGCAAAGACGCAGAGGAACCACTCGGTGGTGACAAGCGAGGGCTCAAACTGAATGGCGTCCAGATGCGCTGCCAGCCTGGGGTGGAGGTACATTCTCACAGGGAGAGGAGACACAGACACACACGGCGGTGATGCTTTTCCGTTAGCAAGAACCACTCAGGCACCGAGCTCTTGCCTCTCCTGCCTGCCCTCCCTGCTCCCACGTGAGTTTCCCAAATTCTCACCCTTCCCTGACCACCCCAAATCCTCTCCCTTCCCCTCCACCCCCTCCCCTCTCACCTGGGCTGCTTGCGGTGCAGCAGGTCCCTGAGCACTTGCTGCTCCACGTGCACGCCAAAGAGGTCCCTCACCCTCCAACTTCCACCCCCTCCCCTCTCTCAACCCCCAATACCAACCCTTCAACCAACCCCACCCCGACCCACATCCCCCCTCCTCCTCTCACTTGGGCTGCTTGCGGTGCAGCAGGTCTTTGAGCACGCGCTGCTCGACGTGCACGCCAAAGAGGTCCTCGGCGAAGCAGTCGTCGTAGAGCACGTTCTCCACCAGCGTCGCCAGCATCCAGAAGGCGTCCTCCTCGCTGCGCATCACCAGCAGCAGATACGCTGCCACGTAGTTCATGCCCTGGTGCGACATGGGGCGAGGGGGTGACGCAGAGGAATGATGGGAGGGAGGGGAGAGAGGCCACGACACCATGAGTGTCACTGAAGGAGTAGGCCACGAGCACTTGGCGCAGCGCTGGTTGGTTGTTGTGATGTCTCAAGGACCAACTCATGAGTGTCTATGGCATTCAGGTACCTGGTATGGCACGGACTTTGTTCGTACCTAGGGGGGCCAGTTCATACATACCTGGCAGAAGCCCACGTGGGTGTCTGAAGGATTAGGCGACGAGTACTCAGCGCAGCACTGGTAGAATGTGACAACCCTCAAAGGCCTACCCATTAAAAAGCTCCAAAGGAACTTCATACCCGGCAGTAACCCACGTGCGTGTCTCTGAAGGAGTAGGTCACTAGCACCTGGCGCAGCGCTGGTTGGTTTCTTTAACATCTCAAGAACCGGCCCGAGAGTATCTGTGGCGTTTTCCGTACCTGGCGCGGCCAGTCCCATACCTGGCAGTAGCCCACGTGGGTGTCTCTGAAGGAGTAGGCCACGAGCACTCGGCGCAGCGCTGGTTGAATGTGAGATGAGAAGAGCTCTCAAACGCATACCAACCAATGACTCCCCAAGGAGCTTCGCATCGCACCTGGCAGTAGCCCACGTGGGTGTCTCTGAAGGAGTAGGCCACGAGCACTCGGCGCAGAGCTGCCAGCCCCTCTGGTGTGTCCATGCGCGGGTGCCCTGGGAACGTGCGGTGCAGGTCCTGCTCTCACACCCACATGCACGCACACGCAAAAACAGACACAGCGACGTGTGGGCATGCGCACAAAGACACATGCGTGAAAGCAAGCACATGGGCGCACACAAGCGCAAGCACACACACAGAGGCGCAGCGGCGGCGGCGGCAGCAGCAGCAGCAGCAGAAGCAGAAGCAGCAGGAGAGAAAGGTTAGCCACGACTCTGTGGGTTGGAGCGGATGGGTCTCGAGGGCCTTGAAGAAGAATTCTGGGAAACACGAGGGTGGGGGAATACTTGGCCTGAACAGTCAATCAAAGACATCAATAACATCCCCCCTCTTCAGACCAGTCAGACCCTCATTTTTTCTCGAGTGAAGTAATGCACTCTCACTGGATCCCATGCGCATCATCATGCCCGCCCAACCCTCCCATCCCACGCAGCATCAGTCCCATCCCATTCACGCCCTCACCTCAACCCACCCACTTTGTCATCCCAGCAATCCCAGCAGCTCAGCAATCCCCCGGAAACGACTGACAGCGGGCGAAGCTACGTAAGCCCATGCATACCCACCCACGCAAACCCCCTCCAAACCCCCGTCAGACCCCTTGCAGAATCCCTACATACATTGTCGATCTGCAGGGTGTGGTCCGTCTCTTTGCCCTTGGTCTGCTCCACGAGCCACTGATAGTAATCCACCGGCGCCACCGCCTGCTTGCGCCCCCCCGGCCCCTCCCTCACCGCACGCACGCGCTCGCAAGCAAGCTCACTCACGCCCATGCACGCTAACCCCTACAAACCCATGCAAACCTCTACAAACCCATGCCCCTGCAAACCCAGAGGAGTAAATCCCTGCAAGCCCATGAAAGCACCCCCCTCAAACAAACCCAGGAGAGTGAATCCCTACATTGTCGATCTGCAGCGTGTGGTCGGTCTCTTTGCCCTTGGTCTGCTCCACGAGCCACTGGTAGTAATCCACCGGCGCCACCGCCTGCTTGCGTCCCGCCCCCGACACCACCTTCCACACGCGCGCACGCAGGTGGGGCGGGATGCCCTTCCGTATCAGCCTCTTGAGCGTTGCTGAGGACACCGCGCCGCTGCCAAACGCGATGCTTGTGAGGGACGGTGTGGTGGAGGAGGAAGCAGAGGAGGAGGGGCGGGAGGAGGACGGGCGGGAGGAGGAGGTCGAGGTGGAGGAGGAGGAGGGGCGGGAGCGGAGCGGGGAGGCTGAGTGGCGGGAGCGGAGAGGAGAGGCGGAGTGGCGGGAGCGGAGGGGGGAGGCGGAGTGGCGGGAGGGGACGGAGGACGCGTGGGGGCGTGTGAGGAGGGGAGAGGCGGAGGGCCTGTGGGGTGACGGGGAGGATCCTGAGGAGGTGCGGGGTTGGAGGGAGGAGGCGGGGGTTGAAGCAGAAACGGAGTGGAAGGAGGAAGGGGAGGGGGACGGGGAGGGGGTTGTTGTGTCTGCGTGGCTGGTAAGGGAGAAGGAGAGGAGAGGCGAGGAGGCAGAGGCAGCTATACAGCAGACTAAGGGAGGGGAGGCGGCACAGGGGGAGGAGGACGCGTCTAGATCCGCGGCGGCAGAGGAGGAGGAGGTTATGAGTGCACGCACAGCAGAGAGAGGAGGGTCAGAGATGGTGGAAGGAATGGGAACAGCAGCACTTGGTGTGGCTGCTGTTGCAGTGGCAGTGGCAGCACCAGTGTTGGCAGGGGTGACAGAGGAGGCAGGGATAACGGGGGTGGCAGGGGTGGCAGGGCAAGGCAGGGAGGAGGCAGAGGAGGAGGCGGAGAGAGGCACAGGGCCATGGAACGAGCTATCTCTGCTCGAAGCCTCGCTCACGCACTTTGAGAACGAAGACACCGACATGCTATGAGAGCGCGAGTGGGGTTGCGAGTAAGGGAGCGAGAGCGAGTGCGTGTGCGAGTGGGAGTGGGGGATGGAGTGTGTGTGGGAGTGGGGGAGGGAGCGCGAGGCGGGGGTGTGGAGAGAGGGGTTGGTGGCGATGGCGGCGTGGGTGCGTGCGGCCTGGGTGCCGTCCTCCACGTGGAACCAGTGCGGCCCTCTGTTGGCCTCGTGGCTCCACCAGATGCGGCTCTGCTCCTGCGCTCTCTTCTCCACCTGCTCATTCGGGGAGGAAAGGGAAGTGGATGGGAAAAGGGGAAGGGGGGGTGTGTGCGGGTGGGAGGGGGTGGGTTTGAACGAAACAAGGACAGGGTGACTTTTGAATATTGAGTTTGGTCATTGTCAGGGGTAGCTCTGCTCCTAAGATTTCCTGCCCACCTGCCCATTGAGGGGGGGGGGTTCACACTCACAACCACACATACACCTACACACACACCCACCCCCACACTCACACACACACACCTGGTTGAGCACGATGGCATCTTGCAGTGACACGAGCGTCTTAAAGTCATGCATGTCCGTGAAGCTCACTTGTATCACTCCCCCGCCTCCACTGCCGCCCTCCTCCTCCATTGCCACCGGTCCCATACCCCCCATTCACACTCCTGCTCAAAACTGCCACCAGTTTCACAGCTGCTGCTGCTGCTGCTGCTGCTGCGGCGGCTGCTGCTGCTGCTCCTGCTGCTGCTGCTGTCCTATCACTTGGTTTGTCAGGAGACGAGGATGCTTGTAGCAACTTGCAGCAGCTTGCAGCTTGTACCTTGCAACGCAAGCACCTCGTGAGGCATCTAGTTTGGAACCTCTCTTCTCAGCTCTTTCTCTATGCCCCAACCAACTTCGCTTCACCAGATTCTACAACCCCCCACCGCACCAGCACAGCCGCTGTCTAGCAATCCACTTTCACTACGTCACGTCACCTCTCCGCACCTCCCTTCTCCCACCTTTCCTCATCCGCCATCCGGCCCTTTGCAAGTTAGAACCGCACAACCACACACACAACCGCACACAACCGTCTGTTCTTAGACGGCAGTCTGCCTCCCACTGTGTCGCTTTACTCTTCCTTCCTCCGGACCCCTCCTGCCCTGCCTCCGGGTCTATTTCTGATTTGATCTGAACCTCTACAGCCGCTTCCCCCCAATACTGCTGCGAACCAAGCCACTGGGTCCACAATACTGCTCTCCGCCTTCCCCTCTGCCTTCCGCTCCGCCTTCTGTCCGCCTGTTCCTCCGCCTGCCTCTCCGCCTGTCCCCGCCTGGCTTGAGCTCAACTCCCCGCGCCTTCACGATAGCTTCGACCGCGATCAAAACAGGAACCCGCCCCTGCTGCGCGTAGTGCCTACTCTCACTCTCACTCTCACTCTCACTCTCACTCTCACTCTCACTCCCCCTGCCTCCCCTGGAAGTCTAGTGAATTGGCACAAAAGTCATCTTCGGTCGCGATCAAGGCAGGAATTCACGCTGCTGCGCTAAGTGCCTACGCGCACTCTCCTGCCACCCCGGGAATCCACTCCCTAGGCGCCAGAAGACTTCATCTGCGGTACGAAGAGGTTCGGTGCGATTTCGCTGGACGGGGGATTAGGAGAAGGAGAGGGGGGGCGTGGGGAGAGGGGAAAGGACGGGGGAGGAAGGGGGAGTAGGGATGATGAGGAAGCGGGAGATTGGTAGGGAGGGTGAGAGCGACTGCTAGGGTTAGTATGCAGCACGAGGCTCGTGCGGACACAGCAGGGTCAAAGCGAGCCATCGAAGGGCGTGGGAGGGATGCGAGATGCGAGAGCCTCGACTCGACATACCGAAAGTTACGGGTGGAGAAGAAGGCGTAAGAACGCGTTCCGTGCGAGTCGAGCGCTCGTTCAGTCGCAGCGCCAATGGAGGGTTGATCTTCCGACAATGGTGGAGGGGAGGGATGATGGGCTTCGGTCCACCGCTAACGGTCTCCTTGAGTCGGGTCTGCTTGTAGACGATCACGCTGTTCGGAATCCCAACGAAGAATGGCACAGCGAGTATGCTGATATACTAGTAAGCCGATAGGCCGAGACGCTGATAGGCTGATACGCTGATAGGCTGAGACGCTGATAGACTGATACCAGATATGCTGAGTTTCTTCGCGAGCTACTGTGTAGTCCTCGCAGCACGCTGTTACTAGCAGGATCGAGCTCCCTAGGGAAGCTAGCAATCGGACGTAACAGCGCAGCGCGCGCACTTCGCGCTGGCGCCACTCTTGAGAATTCTCAAGAGGTGGTAGCGGAGCGTAGGTTACTGCGCACGCATGTCGATTGCGTTAACTAAGGCGGGAGAGACTGGTTCACTATCGCGGTACGGGAGACGATAGATGGGAGCCTAAGAGGCGCGGAATGGAGCGGCGGTTAAGCGAAGAGTGTTCACGCAATGATCGACGAAGCAATTGACGAATTGAGGAACGAACGGAGAAACGATCGCAATGCCGTTCACTGACGGAATCCGCGCGCCGCAATGCAACACAGCAGCGACCCTCCACAGCGAAGCGATTTTCTCTTGTAATTCGTGAGATTACCGCAGCACGCGATAACAATAAGCGCCCCAGAGCACACCGCAACCTAAATGCCAGTTACTGCTTCACAAACCGCAGAGGAGCACAAAGAGACGGATGATTCTTTGTTCTGATGATGTGATGAGGGTGCGCTGTGTGGTCAGTGGTCACTACTCGTCAGCCGAGTTCTTTTTGGGGAAAGTATATACCAGGTCCTGACTTTCAGATTTCTCTCATATTTAGCCCCAGTTTTGCACAAAAAGCACCAATTTCTAGGATTTCTCTCACGCGAGGCCCAAACTATGTTCAAAACTGGTCATGCGGGGCGATTTTTCCGAAACGTGTCTTCTTGTGCACCATCTGACGCACTTCAGCGCATGGAAATTTTTGATGGGGGAAAAAAAATAAAACCCCTAGGGAACCGGGCACATTTGCGGGAGGGATCAACCCTAAACACCTAGCAGGTCCCGTGTTTAGGGTTGATCCCTCCCGAAAAATGTGTACTGGTCTCTTAGGGATTTTATGTTTTGTAAACCGTAAAACAATTTCCAGCGTGAAAATTGCCCTGGTAAACGGATGAAGAGTGGAAGAGCGTCAGATGGTAAGAAGTGAACACGTGTCAAAATCTTTGCCCCGCAGGACCAGTTTTGGGCCTCGCGTGAGCGAAATGCCAGAAAGTGGTACTTTTTTAGTAAACCTTGGGGTAAACATGAGAGAAATCTGAAACTAAGGATCTGTGATATATTTTCCCTTGTTTTTGGTCAGTGTGATTTTTCTTCCTGCTGGTCATGCTGTCGTGTGATGAGAGGCCGTCACACGCGTTTGTCCCTGTACATTCCACGTTCCACGGTTTCTTTCGGTACGTTGCGGTCCAGAAAGCTGAAATAAGCTGAACCGCTGTTTAACGCGTGGAAACCCGTGGTACCGCACTGGACGATAATACGATGGGTGGCTGTAACAGCCCCCGACTCATTTCATGCCATTTGGGGCATCTGCAACTGCGCCCATTCGTTTCTCCGGCCTGGCTGGAGAGGAAAACGCGATTTGGCTAGGGACCTAACTGCCCTCGGGGCGGAAAAATGTCGTCGGAGAGAGTCAGTGTGGTTTGTTGCGATGCGATGCGGTGCACTCCTCTGCAAAAGATGGGACAAGCAGTTGCACGGGCAGGGTTCCGCCGCTAGAGGTAGGGGCTTCCGCTCTGCGGGGCGCTTGTAGTACTGCACTGGTAGGGGGCAGCGGAACCATCCACGCTGCTTGCCCAGGGAGGGGCGGGGCGACTCGTTCCGCGCATGCCCCATCGCCGCACTTCCCGTGAATTTTCAAACAGCTGCAGTTTCTTTCAGACTGACCGCCTGGGTCAGAGACAGATTTTCCCAGTAGGCATATGATCATATTTCGTGGGGCGGGTTGGTAGGATGGATGGATGGTGGGATGGCAAATGTGGTTTTTGGGGAAATCGGAAACGTGTACTCCACAGAGCGATTCATTCAATTTCATACACTCGTGAGCGATACAACTGTTGCTCATGTCAAATAAATAATCGTATAACGTCCATCTTATTTCAAGTGCCTTGAAGTTCTTTGCCTTTTTCGAATGACTCTACGAAGGATCATTCTTCCCGCCTCTGACACTTCCCTCCTGTGACCTTTCTCCCGCCTCCCTCCATTCCAACAAACCGTCAGCTAGAATACACCAGGCATATATCCAATTCTGGTATGACCTCAAATCCACAGGATTCTCCCTTTTTCCTGCTATCGTATGCGTCACTTTACGTTCCAGTCTAGCTATCTTGACATTTTTCCATCGCCTCTGCTTACGATTTGTTCGCTGCTCTGACACCACAGCAGCCCTTAAGTCGATTCACAGAAAAAGAGGTTATCTATGGCCTCCGATACACCAGTTCCGTCCGAGAGCTCCGTTCCTGCAGCGGCCGCGAGCGGTGGCGGCGGCGGCGGCGGCGGCGGCGGCGGCGGCGGCTGGTGCAGCGGCCGCGACGAATGAGCGAAATATTGGGAGGGATGAAAAGCCGGTCAAGAGGAAACCTGAAAAGGAACTGCCAGCTCCTGATTGGCTGCCTGCTGGCTGGCACGTGGTTGAGAAAGTGCGCGTTTCAGGCAACTCCGCTGGCACTAAAGACAAGGTGACTACGAGTCCAGACGATTGGTTAAACTCTCTCCTCCCCGCTGCTCACCTCATCGTCCCTCCCCTGCTCGTCCCCTTCAACCACCACGCTCCACTCCCGCGCCCGCTGACTTTTGAGTCGACTCAAAACTCGTCCCTCCCCTGCTCGCCCCCTTGAACCGCCACGCTCCACTCCCACGCGCGCTACACCCCATTACACTCAAACGCACCCCGACCCGGGAATGTCGGTGTCGGTCTTTCTCTCCTATTCTTTCCCTTTCTTTCTTTCTTTTCGCCAATTGTTCCGTAACAGGCGTTTCGTTTCGTTCCGGTTCTTCGTGGACG